ACTATAAGAATCCACCCAGTTAAGATGATAAGGAAACAAACAAAAATAATATAAACCTTAGGATTCTATCACTTTGGTAATTACTGGTGCCCAACATTCTTCTTTGCCTTTTTTTCCCAGTAAATGTAAAACACTTGACCAGCTTATGATTTCTGTTCCTGCCCCTTGAAGTTGAGTGACTTTCTCTCTCCCTGGATCAGTGGTGTTCGTTCCTGGACTAGTAGCTCCACCGAAGCAAAGCCTGCATCTCCCTCCCTCTTGCATTCTCAGCATCTATGACTGAGTCATAGTGTGTTCAATGCATGTTTGTAAAACGAACTACTGTTAACAAAGTTCTAAGTAGCTTTTAGCAGGTTTAGTTAACGAACATCCACATGATTTAAATAGCAAATCTAAAAGTTGTACTTATCTTTGAATTTACCCATGACAGAAAACATTGAAAACTTTATTCCCTCGAATGTGAAATAGTTATTTTAGAAGACAGAATGATTTCAAGGACTTATTTATAAATGACCTAAAATCAAGCAGCCTTTCCAAATCTATTCTGACTGAAAAGTTAAAGAAGTTTGAAAGATGTTTAAGACTTCTGGTATCTCTCACATACTGAAAAAATATCGGAACACATATTGATCAGTCAAGAGAGCTGTTAATCCTTATGAGCACATGCACTTGAGAGGATACCCAGTTCTGTAATTAATTTTTGTTAAGAGCAAAATTTTAAACTATTTATAATTAAATAATAATTTTTAAGTGATTTAATAATTTTTAATTTTAATAATGCTTTAAAATTTCTTGTCACCTTGATTGAGCAGGGCAGATAACCTCTTGTTAACTCATACTTAAAAATATATATTTTATAATGAAATTAATCTTTACAAAGATTTAAAATTGTTAGAAGAAATGTTCTACAGTAATCCCTTCTCAACTGTGGTGGTGATGTTTCTGAACAACCCTGGGGTTTGCAATAGAGAAACAGGAAGGAATAGTGGAAGAATAGAGTTAAAGGGACTAAGATTTCAATAAACCTTGTAAACACTGCACTTGCTAAAATAAAATAAAAAGTAGAGCACCTTAAATAAGGATGTTGTCAGTGCAATTTTAGACATTATGAAATTGGTTTCCAACCATCCTATAAGAACTAATGAACAAACTGGGGTCCAAAATATTGTTTATAAATGCATTTGACCACAAATAAGAGTCACATCTTGCAGGCTCTCCATGCACAACCACCTAAAAAGAGTATCACTTGGTTCCTCAAAGCTTTAAGCCAGGTGTACCTCTTTCTTGTTAGGAAATGTTCACTTGGGCATGCCGAAAATCCCTTGAGGCAATTAATTCCCCGATAATCTTTCTAGATGTTCCAGGTAATCATTTGCTTTTGGAATATTGGACAGATTCAAGGAGCCTTGAACCAGTAGCACCATCCAAGTGGTGTAACAAAAGTTTCATTATCACTAATTTGACCACATGTGACTCTCAAATTCTCAAATGCTTTGCTTTTTCATGAGTTAAGATTATGTTAAGAAGCTTTTCAGTATTGATGACTGATCATCTTGATATGCAACTGTTGTTCTATTTTGTCAATTACTTTTCCTTCCTATAACACAAGGGCAGAATTTTGAAATGTTACATTTGTCTTTTTTTTTTTTTTTTAATTCATAATCATTACTGGAATCGAATGATTGATCCTACATTTTTGTATACATATCACTACTTTTAATTTTGTATAAAATGACTTCTACTTTTGTTTCCTTTATTATTCTTCATCTCTTCTTGTTATCACAATCAACACTCTGGAAATAATAAGGTAATAATATATATAAAACATATCAAAACTAAGCTTAACATGGCAACCAGGCAGCAGAATGTACAGATAAGCCAATGGTAAGAGTTAAATGCCTTTTGTGGCATTCAGCAGCCATCTCATAATGGCGGGTGGAGTTGTTCAGTTCTGACTGGAGCACAATTTCGTTTACATTTGGGCCTACTGTAAAGTTGAAAGTTCCCAGCTAATTCTTAAGCTTCTATAATTGTACTGTAGTTTCCAGTAAACAAACCCTGATTAGCAAGCAATTTCAGTGAGCTTATAAATTGTTTTTGCTTTGTTGCAGACAATATGCACTTGAAATGATTATCTTACCCTCTTGCATGTACTCCAACCAAATATTTGCTTTTTATCTGAATTTACGACTAACGGGACACCAGCTCTTTTCTTCAGGGTCTCCCTCTCTCCCTATCCCCTCTTTATAATTTTATCTCCATCCTCTTTGCAGACAAGGGAGTGTATTTTTAAAGCTTAAATTTACTCTCACTGATGTTTCTATATTTCCTAGGATATTGTAACAGTAACTTGCCAACAGCTTTACCAGCTTTTTCTATTCTCATTCTTGATTTTTGTAAGTTGCCTAAAAATACATTACCATATACTCAGAGTTTGAGCAAGGGGAACTCATGATTAAGGAGAAATTATTTTTTTTAATTTAACATATTATATCGACTTTTCCAGCATTTATGAATTCTTAATGTCAAATAGTTAAGATGACTATTTCTGATAATTCCTGAATTTTATTTTTGATGAGAAATATGTTACACATATAATAGTCTCACTGTGTAAGAAAGGAATTTTTAAAAATCACATGGATATTTTTGCTCATATTGTTTAAAATAAATTTCTAAGGGACAGCTCTTCTATTTATTGCCTTCAGTGTTTATGTGCCTTAGATCTTCATAGCAATCTCAGTATATTGGCTAAAAAGCCCCCAAAGAATTCAGAGCATGGACTGTTCAGAGGTGGTCTTTCTTCCACAACAATATTCATGCGTTTGACCTTAGTCTAACAGAGATTTATCATTGGCCCTTCCCAGCCTTTCATTAGTATGTTTGAACTTTACTGTGCTACTTCTTATAAACTGAGGTATTTTGGATCACTTGAAGCTTATAAACCAAGTAAACAATTCTGAGGGTGTTGATGATAACTGAAGGGCTAATGTATGGCAGAATGCTGCTGCCACTATGACAGAACAGACCAGCCCACAAATCATAGCCAATACTACTCAGAACTGTCTTCCCCGACTTTTCAGGTCTGCTTTGTGATATTTGTCTTGGCTGCTGAGCATGCATAAATGAGAAAAAGATGGCGATATATTTTAGTAATTTATTTCTTAGTACATGCAGTCGGAGTTTATGACTTATATTGGGAGTCTGCTGGCATTCATCACTCAAACTTGTGAAGACAGTAATGTCTGTTTATAAATAGTTCTATAAAAAGTAGTTCTTGTTTTTCATTTTTAGTCCCAGGAGGGGATAGTAGAAAATGTGTGGGAAAGAAGCAAGAAGAGGTCCTTGATTCAAGGCCTGATTCTGTAACTGTTTCTTTTTCGACCTTGTATAAGTTTATTTCGACTCTCATAACTTCAATTTCTCCATATGTAAAGTAGAAATAATATTATTTCTAATTGTTGTTGAGAAAGTTAAATGTGAGAGAGAAAGTTCTTTTTAAATCTAAAAGAAAGTTCTTTTTAAATCTAAAATCACATACAGAAATTTAAAATAGTTTTTTTTACCTTCTATGGTTTTGTTAAAACCTCTTCCTTCTGTTGTCTATCTTTACACCACCCCCAACTTAAGTCCAAACTACTTAAAACAAAGCTTGATGTTTTCATATGACAGGCTGGCCCAGAAGCAGAGGTCAGAATTTTATTTACCTCACTTGCTATGTGCTGATCCCAATGCCTACCCCTCTTCAGTTTGTGTGCCTTAGTGAGAAATCAGTTTATATCACTACCTCAGAGCAAGTAGAACCAGCATAAATGTTCCCCTGCATGGGTTCAAACCTCTACTATGCCTCTCAATAGCCGTATGGTCTTCAGGTTCTCTGAGCCTCAGTTTCCTCATATAGAAGGTTAGACTAGTACGACCTTCCTCACGGAGTTGTTTTTCTGGATTTGTGAAAGTGAGCCTTGGAAAGGACTAAAATAAGAGCTTAATAATTGGAGTGGATGGTTATTAATGGTATACGTTATGTGGAAATTCTGTATCCTTCTTTCTCACAAGTTTCTGGACAGAGAAGCTATTACCAAATGTTTTATGATAATTAAGTCAATTTTAAGAAAAGCAATTTTTGAGATCTCCCTAATAGATTGTAACCTATAGTGATCCTTGATCTTCTTATGTGTAATGCAACAAATAATAAATATCTTTATTTCCTTTTCTCCTTGCCTGCTCCCGCTCCCCCCCCACCCCCCCCACC